GGGGGAATTACTGCCAACTACAGTAATACTGTGGTGGTACAGGTACAGACCATTTTACGATTTTTTTTTTATAATTTTTTGAGCTTGACAGCCACGGTAACTTTTAATTTTCCTTTCTTGGAAGAAGAAAGTCATACAGATTTGAAACATGTCAGTATGTAAATAATGAGTTTTCATTTTTGAGAGAATTATTCCTTTAAATCAGGGGTGGGGACCGTTGATCCTGGAGGGCCGGTGTCCCTGCAGAGTTTAACTCCAACCCTAATCAAACACACCTGAACCAGCTAATCAAGGTCTCCAGGATGCAGTTAGGTATTTTTTTAGGGTTTTTCAGGGTTGGAACTAAATTCTGCAGGAGAGTGGCCCTCCAGGATCAACGTTCCTCACCCCTGCTTTAAATCATCTTCATGCTAAGTGGAACTTAGAAATATAAAATACAATTCATGTAAAAATAAATATATATATATACACACACACACGCACACAACCATTCAAACACTTAGGGTTTAATGTTTGTGAAAGAAGTCTCTTATGCTTACCAAGGCTGCATTTATATGATCAAAAATACAGTAAAAAGAGTAATATTATAATGAAATATTGCAATTTAAAATAACCATTTTGTATTTTATTATATTGTAAATGTAACTGATTCCTGTGATGGGAAAGATGAATTTTCAGCAGCCACTATTCCAGTCTTCTGTGTCACATGATCCTTTCTAAATCATTCTAATATGTGACCCTGGACCACAAAACCAGTCATAACGGTCTATTTTTTTTTTACATTTAGATTTATACACCATCTGAAAGCTGAATAAATAAGCTTTCCATTCTTGTATGGTTTGTTAGAATAGGACAATATTTGGCCGAGATACAACTATTTGAAAATCTGGAATCTGAGGGTGCAAAAAATCTAAATACTGAGAAAATTGCCTTTAAAGTTGTCCAAATTAAGTTCTTAGCAATACATATTACTAATCAAAAATTAAGTTTTGATATATTTACGGTAGGAAATTTGCAAAGTATCTTCATGGAATATGATCTTTACTGGCATAAAAGAAAAATCTATCATTTTGACCCATACAATGTATTTTTGGCTATTGCTACAAATATACCCCAGCGACTTAAGAATGGTTTTGTGCTCCAGGGTCACATATGCTGATTTGATGTTCAAGAAACATTTCTTTTTATTATCAATGTTGGAAATAATAGTGCTGCTTAATATTTTTGTGGAAACTTTAATTTTTCAGCATTTTTTAAAGACTAGAAAGTATGATTAAAAACAGTATTTGATGTTTTTGTAACATTATTCAATCTAATGTTTCCTTACCAACCCCAAACATGTGAATGGTAGTGTATTTAATTAAAAAAAAAATTATTATATAAAATGATACAATTGTAAAAATGCATGTGTTACAGGGAGGAAGAAGAGATGCACCTCTGGAAGAAAACCAATTTTCTCAGACTCACATTTTCATAGTAAAGGCAGTGGACCAACTCTTTACCATCCCTCATGAGAAATTTCTTTGCTCCGTGTTCTCCAACTGTAACTGCAGAGTCCAGTGTAGCTGTAAAGAGAGACAGGACTGTTAGACACAGATTTAAACCAAGGGGACCACATGTGTGATAGTCTCCTCACCAAACATCTCAAACAGCATTGGTACTCTGTTCTTGTACTGGCTCCAGTGCTTCATGCCTTCAATAACAGCAGTAATAACATGCAGCAATGTCTCATGAGGGGGCTTCTATCCAGCAGGAGAGAGTGTAAATCAGAAATGTTAAAAGCAGTACACAAAAATACTGCAGGTTTGCAGCATTGCAGTAAAGTAGAATAGACTGTTTATTGTTTTTTTTATATGTTAATATGTTTTTAATATGAATGTGACTTGCCCCTACACACACCTGCTGCTGAGGGGGGGTCTGGACACTTGAGGTGTCCATCTTTTCTTTTGCCCACATTCCACTGGCTGATTGTCCAACAGGTCTGAAGTTCCCCTTTCCAATGTGACTCTGAGCTCCAGGGCCCTGAGTGCTTGCTGCTGCGGGGGTACAGTGCTGGGGACGGTACGGCATTCTGGGGGAATTTGCCGGCCTGTTAAATGACTGTTGATTCTGGATGCTGCTGGACCATCTGGGCTGGCCAAGTGAAACTGAGCTGCTCCTTGGAAAACCACCATGAAGCTGGGATCCAACTGCTGGCATCGAATCCTGTCTCACTGGAGGCCTCTGTTGCCCTGTCTGTGACCTGGAGGTAAAATGGTGACAAATACAAAATGTAATGTCACACATGTTTTTCAGGATAACTAAAAATGTGCATTATGTGGTAAAACTTCTAAACAAACTTCAAAATATTTAATTATAATTATAAGTTAATCAACTTGACTACGTACTGAGGTTAGGTTAAACTTTACAACAAGGTTCGAATATATAACATGCATTACCTAACCTTAACTAACAATGAATGGTACATTCGTTACAGTATTTATTCATCTTTGATAATGTTAGTTAATAAAAATACAGCTGTTCATTGTTAGTTCATGTTAGCTCAAGTCAAATATTAACAGATACAAATTTTGTATTATTAGATTCTTTTTTAAATAATGTATTAGAATATGTTGAAATGAACATGAACTTAGATTAATAAATGATTTACAAATATTTGCATTGTTAGTTTATGTTAACTAATGTAGCTAAAGGAATAGTTCACCCAAAAAAAGAAATTTTTCTGAATATGTATTCATCCTCAGGCCAGGTTTCAATCATTAATTCTGACCAAAATACAAGTCCATAATTCATAATAATGTTTCCTCCTCCAGTGAAAAAGACCATTCCCTGTTGTCCTCTCACCTCAAAATCCAACATTTTGTTTAGAACTGTTTTATACTGTTCTCACTTGTAAACACAGCTTGATCTGTGCATATTTCTCTCCTGATTCAGATGAGACAACTTTTTCACTAGAGAAATTTATATTATGGAAAGAATACTCATATTTTAGGTAGAGGCAACAGTTTGAAGTTAAAAACATATCAATGATGATTCGTTTCTTACAAATATGCAGCTTTTCGCTTTACAAGTCGTTGATTTGATGGACTGGAGTCATGAAGATTACTTGTGGATTTTTGTGATATTTTTATCAGCTGTTTGGACTCTCATTCTGACGGCACCCATTCATTGCAGAGATCCATTGGTGAGCAAGTGATGTAATGCCAAACTTCTCAAAATTTTGGATGGCCTGAGGATAAGTACATTTTCACCAAATTTCCATTTTGGGTGAACTATTCTTTTCAAGTGTTACCTAAGGTTACTTAAATATTATATAAGTGAATCTTAAGGCTCAGGTCAGGAAGAAATAGCTTCTTTACAGTCTTCTACAAGACCTTTCTGGTATGTAGTCATTATTTCTTAGCATAAGTTGAGTACCAGACATAGGCAGGTTTTTTTGGGTGAGGTAAAGGTGCATATCGTTGTCCCGCCACACCAGGTGAAGGAGCAGATCTCATGCTGGCTTGCTGTGATGAAAGGTAGGCTCCCTGGTTCCACTGACCTCTCTGACCCAAAGCTAAAGAGAAACCTTGGGTTATATTTTAAAAATCATAATAACCAAAGACAGAAAATGATTTTATTATAAGAAATGTAAATGAATAATGTATAATAATGAATAATTCCAACTCGCAATATATTTCTAGCTTTACTCACATACATAAAGTACATTCACATAAAGCGATATATATACTAAATACCAATTCTCAACTGAAAACTATCCTATAACCCAGCTCTAAACTACGCAGTTATTTAAAATACAAACCCGATTCCAAAAAAGTTGGGACACTGTACAAATTGTGAATAAAAACAGAATGCAATGATGTGGAAGTTTCAAATTTCAATATTTTATTCAGAATACAACATAGATGACATATCAAATGTTTAAACTGAGAAAATGCATCATTTTAAGGGAAAAATAAGTTGATTTTAAATGTCATGGCATCAACTCATCTCAAAAGTTGGGACAAGCCCATGTTTATTTATTTATAATAGTCATTTCCAAATTGACATTTCTGTAAAGCTGCTTTAAAAAATGTGTATTGTGAAAAGTGCTACACAAATAAATAACTTGACTTAATCTGTAAATATAACATATGAGCTGTCTACTGTCAAGATTTAAAATATATATATATATATATATATATCATATTTTAGGGTTACAAGCCATGTGTTTGGATAGGGTAAAATGATTCATTTTAAATTAATTTATCGATCTAAATAATAAATTATGAAGACTTTTTGATGTGATCTTGATGTGACAGTATAACAAAAAGATTGTTTTAATAAAAAATCATCCACTGAGATGATCAATCAAAACATTGCTCTGTTAGTACACTTTTTTCTAGTCAATTAGTTAATGAAGGACTAAATGACTCACTCATTCAAACAGTCATTTGACGCCACCTACTGGTTTGGTTTCATATTTAAAACTATAATTTCCTTTCCCCCAACATTTCTTATTTGTATGTTTAAAAAATATTTACAACATTAATCTTATAAAATTCTTAATGCATTTGAATTTGTGCAGTGTAAATGCATTCATGGCACCTCAGCTTCATCAAACAGTCTGTAAATACATCTAATGCCACTTCAGATGCCGCTTCTGTGTTTGCTGCAGTGGAAAGTTTGTTGATACTGATTTCATTTGAATGGTTAGGGTTAGGGCTCCAACCCTAATTTAGCACACCTGAACCACTTAATCAAGGTCCCTTCTGGATTTCTAGAAACTTCCAGGCATCTGTTTAGGAGCTCGGCAGGACAGTGGCCCTCCAAGGACCAGAGGTTGGCACATTCAATAATAAATGATGCATTAAATTTATCAAAAAATAAAGACATTTAAAATGTTACAAACGATTTCTGTTTAACAAACAGATGATGCTGAATTTTCCATTCATTAAAGAAAAAATGTATCATGATTTCCACAAAAATATTAAGCAAAAACAATTTTCATCACAAAAGAAGAGAAGTGAATTACTTCAAAACAATTGCTGTCTAATACCTATAGCCCATATAAGATTTGAATAGGCTATTTAAATGCTTGTAGATGGTTTATATGTAAATCATGTCAAATAAGCTGTCAAAGACAGTCCTTAGGCACAGAATTCACACTCTGATGGCTAGGACTAAACTCCACACTCTAAAGACATTAGATCTCTAGGACTTCATATTCAAGTAACATTTACGGTCCTAAATATATCCAAGCACATATGTATGTTATACTAAAGTAAATGAAGCCATTGCTGTGAATACACTGTGAATAAACAAAAAAATAATTCTGCTTTTGCATTTTATGATCACCTCAAGACACATCATACATTCAAGGCACAAATGCAAATCACATGGAAACCACAAAACAAATTATTAATGCTGCGCCTATAGAACATCTGCTATATAAGTATGGTTTTTGCTGCATGTGAAGTATCATCAGTGCTTGAGTTGAACATCTTGGTAGTTGACTGTGGGTGAACAGGTACAGTAAATCTTACAATCAACTTTCACGCACTTTCTAAATGTGATTGGTATTTGGTTGATGTGTTTATTTCAAAGGAACTTGACCGAAGATGGATTTACAGAATAAAGTGGCTGTGGTGACTGGAGGTGCTCAGGGTTTGGGCAGAGCCTTTGTCGAAATACTCCTAAAAAAGGGGTCAAATGTAATCAGTCTTCTTGTTTGCTTGCATGTGTATAAATGTCAGTCAACCAGCTTCTGCGACATTTTACTTCTACTAATACTACACCATAGGATACTGAACTACAGATTCATTTTGATTACAGGTGGCCTTCATTGACGTGAATGAACCACTAGGAAAAGAGTTAAAGGCTGCGCTTGCCGAAGAATATGGACCTGACAGGGTTGAATTTTACACTGCGGATGTCTCATCTAAGGAGGAATTTATAGGTATTTGAAGATTTTTTAGTCTTTTAATTTGTCTGGGAATAAAGAAATAACATCAGCAGATTTTCTTTTCAGGAGCTTTTCAGAAAATTGTGGACAAGTTTGGCCACATCGACATTATGTACAACAATGCAGGGGTTGTCAATGAAAATGACTGGGAGAAAACCATTGCCATAAATATGGTATGATTTTAATAAGGCCTCAGTTCATCTGTCTGTCTGTCTGTTCATCGTAACATGTTGAACTGTTCATGTGGCTTTTATAGTCTGGGCTGGTGAGGGGAACATATCTGGCTCTGCAGTACATGAAGGACAATCCTGATAGCAAAGGCGCAATTATCAACATATCATCTACTGCAGGTTTGGAACTTAATACACTAAATTAGTCACTCAATAAAACTTTTTGTATAATATGTATATTATATAATATTTATTTGATAAAATGCATTTATTTGATTGAAAATACAGCAAAAACAGTAACATTGAGAGATATTACAACTGAAAATAACAGTTTTCTAGTTTAATATATTTTGAAATGTAATTTATTTCTCAGCAGTCTTTACTCCAGTCTTCAGTGTCACATGATCCTTCAGAAATTATTCTAATATACTGACTTTATTTGCTCAAGAAACTCTTAAATTTGTATTTTTATCAATGTTGAAAACAGTTGTGGAAACAGTGATACACTTCCATTCAAAAGTTTAGGGTTAGTAAGTTTTTTTTATTTATTTTTTTATAGCAAATTTAATAAATTAATACTTGTATTTAACAGTGTTGCATTGAATTAAAAGCATCACTGACTGTAATAAAGACATTTATAATATTAGAAAATAAATACTGTTTCATTTTTATTCATTAAAGGAAAAAATGCATCATGATTTCCACAAAAATGTTAAACAGCAAAAACTATTTTCAAGATTGATAATAAGAACCATTAATAAAATAACTAGTAATAACTGAAATAACTGAGCACCAGATCAGCCAATTAGAATGATTTCTGAAGGATCATGTGACACTGAAGACTGGAGTAATAACTGCTGAAAATTCAGCTTTGCCAAGACAGACATTAATTACAATTCAAACAGAAAACAGTTATTTTAAATTGTAACAATATCTCACAATATTACTGTTTTTTTCTGCAATTAAATCAATATCAAATAATTGCAGATATATATATATATATATACACACATGTAGCTACACACACACACACACACACACACACACACAGTGTATGTATATACGTATACTCAACTTTTTTTCATATTGGCCACAGGTCTGTGGTTTGTGCCAACAGCGCCCATCTACACAGCGACTAAATATGCAGTGGTGGGATTCAGCCGTGCTATTGCGGTATGTTTAGTAATATATAAAGAATACAATCTTTTTTACATTTGTAATATAATGACAGCAATAACTCACATGAACTTAAAGCCTCGATAGATAATGAGGAGTACATCTCTTGCTAACAATAAGGCAGATTTGATTAATTTTGCATGTTTAACAGGCTGTTGCTATGAAGTCCAACCTTGGGTTGAGGATCAACACTCTCTGTCCAGGTGTGGTGAAGACTAACCTGCTGTCCTCTTCTAATTCAGAGGACCATTTTGGACAGTTTTCACAACTAGAGGAAATGAAGGAGATGTTTCTGGAAAGAAATGACTTTGTGGAGTGAGTTAACAGTCCATATACTTTTCAGTAGATTTTGCAGTGAAAAGTACTTCAATGTCATTGCTTTATTTATAGGCCTGAGGATGTTGCCAAGGCCTCCCTTATTCTTGTGACAGATGAAAGCAAGAATGGAGAAATTCTGAAGATCGATGCTGATGGTACGGAGTTCATATCCCTTCCTGAACCACCAGCCATGCGAAAGTAGCCAATCAGCTTTTTTCCCTGCCACAGCCATAACTTTCAGAGCTGATTCCTAATGTCAGATTAGAATTGAAATGTTAAAGGCTTTGCTCCTATAATTTTGCCTGGTTGAAAATGTACTAATCTTCCTCAGTTCTAGTTGTCAGTAGACAATAAGTAAACTTGATGCAGGCCTAATATAAGGTCTTGACTAAATAAACGATCATGTGAAAGGTCTCTTTATATTATTCTTGGCTTTGCATGTGAGTGTTACAATGAATACTGAACACTATATTAAAAAAAAAAACCTTGATAGAAGGTTCAGAAAGGCTGCATTTATTTGATCAACAATACAAGTAAAAAAGCAATACTGTTAACTGCTTTCTAATCGAATGGATTTTAAAATGTAATTTATTTCTGTGATGGCAAAGCAGAATTTTCAGCAGCCGTTACTCCAGTTTTCAGTGTCACGTGATCATTTAGAAATCATTCTAATATGCTGATTTGCTACAATATTTGTTGCTGTACCAAATCAGTTGCAAAAAGGTATTACAGTTGTCAAAATTCACTAATGTTTTAATTAATAGGTTAATTTCCATCTGAAATTAATGAAATAAAAAATTGCTAATTGAAATGGCTTGACCATCAAGTAGTACAAAATGTAGAGAGATTGATTGCATTGTGAAAACTGCTCAAATCGCTCAATACGTATTTTATTTATTTACTATTCATCAATATAAAGTGCTCCTGGTAAACAGGGCACAATTAATTATAGCTTATTAAATGCAAAAACAAATATAAACTGTCAATACTTTAATCCTGGCCAATATTGTGTGTCTCTGTGGGTCGGTCGATACGGTAGATAAACTCAGCGGGCAGGAAGTATCCCAGGTACTCCACTGTGTTTGGGGTGGTGTCTATGTAGTAATGGCCCCCCTCACCATGGTGACTGAAGCCATGCGTATGCTCCACTCTCAGGTCAAGACCCTGTGAATTGAGAAGAACAGAAATGAGTTGATATGAAATATTTAGAGAAGATGCAGAATAATATTGTCAGTGAAATGGATGGCAATATTACATTTTCAGTATGACACGGTGGGTTGGTACTCACTGGGTCTCGGGACACCATGACAGTTTGAAAGATCAGTGGAGCACTGACTTCAAAATGTCTGAGCCAGTTACTCACGTCCTCAATGGAGTTTAGAGGGCAGGCGGAGAATTCAAACGGCTTAACGACAGAGCAGTGAAAAGATTACACTTCCGTCATTTCTGCTCTAACATTTTGAAGTTTAATCCTAGTTCAAGATGCTACTTTATTCTATAGAGTTTATCAGTGACTGCTTTATAGGCCCTACAAATGTCTATTTTTTAATTATGTTTTATTTTCTTACCATGATATGGATCTTTGCCTTCCCCTTCTGTATGACGAAAGTTCCCCCCAAGGCCACGCTCTTCTCCCCATAACATTCTTCCATGGTCTTTCTCATGCAGCTCACAAGACTGTCCTCTCCAGTCCTTCTGCAGGCTCTCACCTCAATGACCTGCAATGGAAGTCTTGTTACTGGTTTGATAATAATGTTGTGTATCGAGAATGTTTGTTGTGTGTGAAATCCAGTGTTGGGGAAAGTTACTTTTAAAAGTAATGCATTCGAATATTGCGTTACTCCATAAAAAAAGTAACTAATTACGTAACTTAGTTACTTTTTATGGAAAGTAATGCGTTACGTTACTTTTGCGTTACTTTTTAAATCTGGACAGGGCTTGCTTGTTTGTTTTTAAAATAAAAAAGTTATATTTTTGGCAAATATAAAAGCCTTTTCATACCAAACGTGAAATGAATAAGCCTCAGGCTGAAGGGAACATTTCATTTACATCTGTACAGTAGAATGCAGAAGAAGAAATTTCAACACACTTCAGCAATAAAAAAAGACACACAAATGTCTGTCTAGAGTAATTTTTGCTTATTAGTATGGTTGAACTGGATCATCGAAGGTAAGAAGCAAAGACATTGGTTAATAGAATGGCATTAAATACATAAAGGATATTTGTGTTGTTTAATATTTAATTATTGCAGGTTTGCATCATATTCTGAGTTGCATTTTTTTATTCATTTTGAGGAATACTGAATCTGTGGGGGGTTTTTTGTGAGTGAGATGAATGAATGCATATTCATATTTATTTTAGAACTACAGTAACATCTGATTTCTCTCAACATGGGGACAGGAGAGCTGTCAATCAATAAATTGGAAAATAAAAAGTAACTTGTGTTACTTATTTGAAAAAGTAACTCAGATATTCTCTTGTAAATTAAAAAGTAATGCGTTACTTTCCTAGTTACTTGAAAAAAGTAATCTGATTACGTAACTCGCATTACTTGTAATGCGTTACCCCCAACACTGGTGAAAACTGATAAATGAATACATACAGTACCATTCAAATGTTTGGGCTCAGTAAGATTTTTTTAAAGATATTGATTGTTTTATTCTGCATTGTGTATTCACATACAATTTTAAGCTCTTTAAAAAGTGACATAAAAGAAATGTATAACGGTACATTCACCCGGGGCTTTGGCGTCGATGCTTGATGGAGGGCGTGTCTGGTACTGAACAGCCAATCACATTATTTTTCTGGTGTTGCATGAACGCGATTGGCTAGCATCTGCGCTAGGGTATAAGGCGATGTGATTGGCTGATGCCTGCGTTGGCGTTTGAAAAGTTTTTTAACTTCTGCCGCGATATGTCAGAAATATTCTGCAGCAGTAACACTGTTTTGTACGGAAGTTCTAAGCAGCCATGCATTATTTTTTTTTTCCCTTCTTGTTTTCTCGTTGTAACGACTTATTTTCTCCTTATATCAACATAACGAGAGTTGTTTTCTCGTTATAACGACTTAATTTTCTCGTTATGTCGACATAACGAGAGTTGTTTTCTCGTTATAACGACTTAATTTTCTCGTTATGTCGACATAACGAGAGTTGTTTTCTCGTTATAACGACTTAATTTTCTCGTTATGTCGACATAACGAGAGTTGTTTTCTCGTTATAACGACTTAATTTTCTCGTGGCCTACAGCTATGGCAGCCCAAGCAAATTGGCCTCCAGCTCCTGTAGCAGATGCTAGCGTGAGCACGCCTCCGCTAGTGGTGCAGACCCATTCACAGCCCTTTCCTTACCCTACTCCCAGCCCCCTCCCCTACCCTACTCATGGCCCGCAGCCCCACCATCCAGCTCTAGCGCGAGGCTTCCTCAGCTAGCAGCAAAAGCTCAGACGCCCACCATTCCATCTCTCCTTCCCTATGTTTTTCCCACCCCCGGGACCGACCAAAGCATGAGGCCGCCTCCGCTAATGGCGCAGGCTCCGGCGCCCCCATTCCCCCCCTTCTTTCCTATGTTTTGCCCCCTCCCGGAGCCGACCAAGGCGTGAGGCCGCCTCCGCTAATGGCGCAGGTTCTGGCGCCCGTTATTCCCTCTCTCTTTCCTGCTCTTTCTTCTGATCTCGCCCCCTGAGCCGTTCCAAGTGTGAGCTTGCCTCCGCAGGCGGTTCTGGCTGCTACTTTCCCCACCCCCATCCCCCATGCCCGCTCATCCTACTGTCTGTCCACAGTTCTTCTGATCTGGACATCTCTTTCCCCCTGAGCCGTTCCAAGCACGAGCTTGCCTCCGCAGGCGGTTCTGGTGGCTACTTTCCCCTCCCCCATCCCCCATGCCCGCTCATCCTACTGTCTGTCCACAGCCATGCCCCTACCTATGCCAACAAACCCTCATCAGTCACCCCCTTTTTTTCGCCCTAGTCCATCCCTGCCCATCTCCATTAGCACCCCGCTCCTGCAAGAGTTTTTTAATCGCCCCCCTTGTAACGCAGGAGCCCTTTCTGTTTTTTCCCCACTGCCGCAGCAGTGTCTGCTCCCGCAGGAGTCCTTTCTGTATTTCCCCACTGCCGCAGCAGTATCTGCTCCCACAGGAGTCTTCTCTGTATTTCCCCACTGCCGCAGGAGTATCTGCTCCCACGGGAGCCTTGGACCTGCATTTTTACATCTTATTTTTCCACCATAATTTGCAAATAAATTCTTTAAAAATCCTACAATGTGATTTTCTGGATTTTTTTTCTCATTTTGTCTCTCATAGTTGAGGTATACCTATGATGAAAATTACAGGCCTCTCTCATCTTTTTAAGTGGGAGAACTTGCACAATTGGTGGCTGACTAAATACATTTTTTCCCCACTGTATAATGAGCTTTACCTGTATTTCCCCACTGCCGCAGCAGTGTCTGCTCCAGCAAGAGCCTATCTGTATTTCCCCACTGCCGCAGCAGTGTCTGCTCCCGCAGGAGCCTTTTCTGTATTTCCCCACTGCCACAGCAGTGTCTGCTCCCACAGGAGCCTATCTGTATTTCCCCACTGCCGCAGCAGTGTCTGCTCCCGCAGGAGCCATTTCCGTATTTTCCCCACTGCCGCAGCAGTGTCTGCTCCCGCAGGAGCCTTCTCTGTATTTCCCCACTGCCGCAGCAGTGACCTCTCCCACAGGAGCCATCCCATCCTGTTCACTCGAACCCTTGACCCACCATAGTCAACCCCCATCAACATCACATAATCCATCCTAACAGCACCCCGCTCCCGCAGGAGCTTTACCTGTTTTTTCCCCACTGCTGCAGCAGTGTCCGCTCCCGCAGGAGCCTTTTTATGTATTTCCCCACTGCCGCAGCAGTGTCTGCTCCCTCAGGAGCCTTTTCTGTACTTCCCCACTGCCGCAGCAGTGTCTGCTCCGCAGTAGTGACGGCTCCCGCAGGAGCCTTTATCTATATTTCCCCACTGCCGCAGCAGTGTCGGCTCCCGCAGGAGCCTTCTCCCTATTTTCCCCACTGCCGCAGCAGTGTCCGCTCCCGCAGGAGCCTGATCTTTATTTCCCCACTGCCGCAGCAGTGCCTGCTCCCACAGGAGCCCTATCTGTATTTCCCCACAGCCGCAGCAGTGCCTGCTCTCACAGGAGCCCTATCTGTATTTCCCCACAGCCGCAGCAGTGTCTGCTCCCGCAGGAGCCTTATCTGTATTTCCCCACTGCCGCAGCAGTGCCTGCTCCCACAGGAGCCTTATCTATGTTTCCGCACTGCCGCAACAGTGTCTGCTCCCGCAGGAGCCTTATCTATGTTTCCGCACTGCCGCAGCAGTGTCTGCTCCCGCAGGAGCCTTATCTACTTTTCCCCACTGCCGCAGCAGTGTCTGCTCCCACAGGAGCCTTCTCTGTATTTCCCTACTGCCGCAGCAGTAGCCACTCCCGCACGAGCCTTTTTCTATCTTATCATATCTAGCTCTCTCTTTCAGCACGGAACGCTTCCACTAAACCTAAATCTTCCTAGATACTGCCACAATAAATGTACACCAAAGGACGTCCAGCACCCCTCTAACATTAAGTCACAGCAAAACCCGCCCAATTGCTACTCAAAACTAGCCCAATCACGTTTCGAGGTGGATCCCCTGGTGAAAATCGCATTCCGGTGGGGTAAAATACACGTTTTGGAGGGGTTCCCATGGTAAAATTGGCATTTTAGGGGCTAAATATCACGTTATTGGGGTCGGTTAAACCCGCGGCAACAATGTTAAAGTAGCCCAATTCCACGGGAAAACCGCGGACTTGGCATCACTGCTCATGTCCTGTCATTTGGGTTTCTCAAGTACAATGAAATAAACTAGTCATGCTACATGCTATAACGTTACCCGTTTAAACGCACATATTAAAATGAAATGCGCCGTTTACCCTGACATAATTCCTCGAGATTTGGAACGTGTAGCTGGAACTTGTCTGTCTTGCTGGTGTTTGCCATCCTTCTCGGTGTGTATCAGAGTATGTGAGCGGAGTTTCTATAGCCCCATCAGAAACCTGCTTAGCCCAGCACAGCCCCCTATCTAATAATAATAATAATAATAATAATAATAATAATAATAATAATAATAATAATAATAATAATAATAATAATAATAATAATAATAATAATAATAATAATAATAATAATAATAATAATAATAATAATAATAGGCCTAATAATAGGAAGAATGTAACAGGCCTACATAAATTGGAAATGCTAAGTCCTCTTAATATTGCCAATTTTTGATGCTTTTGACAAAATCTCTGGCTATCGTTGACACATGATACGACGCATCTCAGCACGGGGAGGTTATTGCGGGGGCCCCCGCAGTGCGTGCCCGTCCGCTATGCCACTGTGTGGAAATAGTTATGGTTAATAGTTAAATATAGTGTAGAAATAATGTCGGCACTTTATCTATTGTAAAAAAAAATGGTTAGAATTTACCATGTTTTCCTGCCAGTTGACATTGAGAGTGACTGACACTTGATGGTCAGAAAAAAATACTAAATAGTGTAAAAAAATAAAAATAAAATAAAACAATGAAAAAAGAAAGAAATCCCTACTTTCTCTCTTTTCTATGTGCGTTCATATTGTATTAATTTGTCATATTTGGCATTAGAAGTTATATTATTAATAACTGGCATATGAGAAGTTTATTACCACAGAAAAAAAAAATTTAATTGCCTTTTTCGAAGCTGCTGTAGCCTATATAAAAACACAAGGTGGCTGAATTTGCATGCAATTTAGATAGCTGAAGTTTATAGACGTTCATTACTTTCACTCAGTTTAGTTTTTAGCACCCCCTCTGAACTGTTAAGCCCCTCCTTAGCTCCCCCAACAAAAAAAATCCTGGAGCCGCCGCTGGTTATTTTACCTACGGATCGCTGCATTTCTTACAGATTTCTGCTCATTCGAAATCGGATAGAGATGAAGTAGCACTGTAAGATTACATTTATTTGAATGCATTAGGCTATTGAGAGAGCGATTGCGTGTAAGTGCTGTACCTGTTTAAATCATGCTTTCACCTGAGAATATTCAGTAGGCTATCTATAGAAGGAACTAACAAATTCCTTGAGAACTATAGCTTCCCGCTCATGTCCAGTGTTGGGGAAAGTTACTTTTAAAAATAATGCATTACAATATTGCATTACTCCATTAAAAAAGTAACTAATTACGTTACTTAGTTACTTTTTATGGAAAGTAATGCGTTACGTTACTTTTGCGTTACTTTTTTGTAATTTTTGCTTATTAGTACGGTTGAACGGGATCATCGAAGGTCAGAAGCAAAGACATTGGTTAATAGAATGGGATTAAATACATAAAGGATATTTGTGTTGTTTAACATTTCATTATTGCAGGTTTGTGTCATATTCTGAGTTGCATTATTTTTATTCATTTTGAGGAATACTGAATCTGCTTTTTGTTTTTTTTGTGAGTGAGATGAATTAATGCATATTAGAACTTGTAACATCTTCTGATTTCTCTCAACATGGGGACAGGAGAGCTGTCAATCAATAAATTGAAAAAAAAGTAACTTGCGTTACTTATTTGAAAAAGTAACTCAGATATTCTCTTGTAAATTAAAAAGTAATGCGTTACTTTACTAGTTACTTGAAAAAAGTAATCTGATTACGTAACTTGCGTTACTTGTAATGCGTTACCCCAACACTGCTCATGTCCATATTGCCGCCATCATAGCCTTCACATTCTTTCTGATTTGAGTGATCCTTCTCTATCAAGCTAGCTAAATATGTTTATT